TTTTTTTTGGGGGGGGGGGGGTGCGGCGTAGCTGGTCGTCGGGCGCACAGTCGTGCGCCACGCGGGTACGGTCCGGCGGTCTGCCGCACGTGCGGAACCACCCGGACGGCGTCTGCTTGCAAGTATGGTGAAGACGTTTTGATCCCTTCATTGGCTGGGGAAAAAAGTCAACTTTATTCCTTGATGTATATGAGGGACGCTGGACCCGTTTTCCAGCAGGTGCAGCTCCCCACCAATAGATGGAGCAATTTAAAAAAGAAAAAAAAGAAAAAAGTTTGATTGCGTACGTATGTCAAAGGAAGGAAGCAGAACTCCCAGACTGTGAGTCGACTAACGGCTTGTTGTTGTTTATCGTTCCAATTTTAACGGACGTCCCGAAGGACAATTGTTGTTTCTATCTAACAAAGGGAAAGAAAGGCTGTGCATGTTTGATGAAGAATCCATGATGGATGAATGTCATGATGCCAAAGGCAATTTTGGCTGGAGGAGGATGTACGCCAACCTCGTAGAGAAATATGCATGGCAGGGAATGAAAGAAAGATGCAATAAAATACTTGAGAACTACGGTAGTCAACAAGCCCCCTAATGAAAATGCAATGGGGTTCGCAATTCAAAATAGGAACCCGTTTTCAGCAGTCGGCTTTTATTATCATCTAATTCTGGCAATCATAGCCCAGTAGGGGCTACCACTTAGTGAGAATGAACAAACAAACTTCAAGCAGCAGGCTGGCGCTTATAGTCGTGGTCCTGTTTTCTGAGCAGGCCATGTTTCCAAATGGCGTGATGGCTGCCGTCAAAGTCCAGGACCAGAAGACAATGCAAGGCGATCATCAGTTCGTAACGGAGATTGAGGTGAGTTTTTGGTGGGCGCCCAGTCATCTATTCTCAGGTATTGTCTGCTTGATCTTTGTTGTGAGGTTGACTTTCTGTCTCTGGCCCCATTTCCCACAAGAAAAGTGATAGCCTGCCTTCTTCCCCCGAGCACAACCACCGTTGGTCATCTAATCTGTATCTGGCCTGCAACTTCAGACCAAACACAGGTCAGATGACCTGGCATGCTGTTCTGGGGAATAAGGGTAGCTATGTATGTACCTGGACCAGGACCAGGACCAGGACCAGGACCAGGTTGCACTGTGCTGTGCTAACACATTCTAGGTTGCATATGCTCCTGAATCTTGTCAAGGTTGCCTTTCTGATCGGGGTTGCACTTTGCAAGAAGTGTGGCCAGGGTGGGTCCAAAAAGCAAATTCCATTTGCCCAAGTTTGCTTTGCTGAGGAGCGTCTCTCTCTCTCTCAGGAGGTGCATGAGGAACGTGAAAATCAGGGTGTTTATCTCATCCTCTGGATCTACAATCGCGAGACCCCTCTTGGCGTACAATCGCGAGACCCCTCTTGGCGTAGGTTGGGCAATCAAGTGCCATGTCACACACTTCATGCATGTAATATCTTTGGGGTTTCCTTTCCATACTAAGGCAGGTGTTGCTTGTTTTAGCAACAGGGCTAATTGCCGCTGTGTAAGGGTCCAAAAGACCACTTACATACCAGAGGGCTGCAAAAAAGATGGCATTTTTCGTGGCCAAAGCCCGACCTGCCAGCAAAGTATGTAATCCCCTCCAGTTGGCCATTCATTCAATTGCAACATTTATGAAGAAGTCACCATTATCAGCTGGGGGGGGACTGATTAAGTCTGTGAGTTTCACTCGAAGAACTCAGATATTTTGCTCTTCCTCGGCTTTCCAGGAGGCAGAAGGATGATCGCGATACTTGTGTCGCATGCCATTGTTCTCGATGCGTTCACTGTGAGAAAGTAAAGCCTCGCGCATTGAGTTCAATTTGCAATTGTGTATGTATATCTGCAATCATACTCGACTTCTCCACACTTGTCATGTATGCAAACAGCGAAACAGCAACTGGCGACATGCGCCCACACAATACTCAAGATATCGTAACCAGATATGAGTTCTCTTCAACTGGCTATGGCGACTGGGCGCCCACACAACTCACTGTTCACACTCTGGATCACCCTGGATGTCCCACACGCAACACTCAGTATTATAC